GACTCACAAAAAAAAATATCCTTTTCATTATTCTTCAGAAGAAAATTATCCTGTTTTTGATCTTTTTCATCTACAATGGTGTTATCTTCTAATGTTTGTTCATGTTTACAGAATTGAAATCCTTTCCTATTTTTCCTGTAGCTTGATCCCTCCAATACTTAAGGTTGAGTCCTGATGGAGATGATCAGGTGTACACCGTGCTGTGTGGGGGGAAGAGATCAGGTTCAAGGCTGGCAATGCAACCCCATCCTCCTCCTTTGTGCTGAATATCTAACTAAACTAAAACCCTCCTTGGTGTGTCCTGTGGCTGGATGGCCTGTCTCCAGGACAATCAGGAAAAATAAACACAGTCGACATCTGTCGCGGAGCAGGAGGAGAAGAGAGGCGTCTGTCCCGACCAGCGCTAAAAGCATTGTTTGTCACTTTCTCCATGAAATGCACTGCGAATATTGCCTCAAACAATTAGGTTCCAGTGATCCCTATCACCGGGTACACAATAGTGTTTACATGACGCGGAGGAAATGTGGCCATGGAGCCCACTTTGGGGAGTGTGTATGCGTTTTCTGATTTATGTGCATGTGCTCACTGTAAGTTCTCCAAGTTTATTTTAATCTGATAATGGGAAATACATGAACATTATCACAGATGATAGATAGATGTCTGTCAAATTAAAAGCAGTAATGACATAATGACAGAAAATAAGGAAAATAATATTTACTGTGCTGCTAGAAGTAGCTTCATAGTCACAAGGCCACACACACACACATGCGCGCGCACACACACACAAACACACACACTTCTAAAGGCATGTTACATCAGGCAAAGGCACAGTAAAATTCATCTCTGAGAAAAATCAATTCTGGAGAGACTCACCCGCAGGGCTAGGTGGTGAAGCACTCTACCAGGCAAGCTAGGATATGTGCTTCTCTAACTGCACTAATGAGTCACAATAGCTTTGAGCCTGTTTCTGTTTTCTGGCATATTATTCTCAAGATCCACGAAGGCCTAATAAAAAGGGGTTAAAAAAGTGATCTTGCTTGTTTGTTGGGTTGAAAAGAACAGACTGTACTGCAGTTTATTCCAAACATGTACATACATTCACTGGCCACTTTATGCGGTACACCTGTTTATCTCCATGTAAACACAAATGTCTAATCAGCCAACCACATGGCAGCAACTCAATGCATTTGGGCATGTAGATGACCTGATAAGGTTCAAACTGAACATCAGTTTGGGAAGAAAGGTGATTTAAGTGACTCTGAATGTGGCATGTTTGTCGCTCAGATCTGATCTGAGTATTTGAGAAACCTCTGATTTATTGGGATTTTCCCAAACATCCATCTCTAGAGTTTACAGAGACTGGCCACTCCTGTTAGCCAAGTACAGGAAACTGAACATGCTGAGGCTTCATGCGGTATCACCAAACGTGGACAAAAGAAGACTGGAAAAACATGGCCTGGTCATAATTTGGCACAAACACCTTGTAGCAACAGTTCAAGGTGTTAGTAGTGGTGTAATGGCGTGTAGGATATCTTCATGTGCCAACTCAGCTTTTTCTAAACACCACATGCCACACCCTTAATGACTAATGTTCTGAAGCCAAAGGGGGGTCCAACCCAGTACTAGCAAGGTATACCTAATAAAGTATACGTATACTGTATATGTGCTTTATACCAGTGTAGCAATGCACACCTGCTATCTGAAAACTCTTTTGTGTTCATCATGATGATGACAGTGGCCTCATTTCTCCTTAAAGGTCGGCTTTGTTTAAATGGCTTGTTGTGTTCAACTGCCAGTACCAATTTATAAAAACATTTCTTACAAATGACCAGCATAGAAAACGAAATAACTAAAAATAATAAATAAATAAGTGAATAAATAAATACATTAAATAAAATTTTAAAAATAATAACAGATGGATCTAGATTTTGGCAGTTTTGAATGCTGCTGATGGGGCCTATTTTCTACTAGACCCAAAGCTTTTCGTTTAAAACATTTTCATTTTCAACTCTTTGCCCAGATGAGATCAGTGTTTCTGCAGGTGCATTCACACACACACACACACACACACACACACACACACACACACACACACACACACACACACACAGACAGAGGTTCCCCTATTGATGCTCTTTTTATTGAGCGGGGTATTTTAAGGTAGCCAGGAGGAGGGTGTGACAGGCACCGCGCTGAGATTAAAACAATCATCTCTTGATTTCTTCCTCACTCAAGGGAAAAGCGGAAGCTGGCTGTTATCGTTTGTTTCTATTATTATTCCCCATTTACAGTTTGAGTGTTCACATGGGGCTTTAAATAAGACAGTCTGGTCCCGAGAAAACTGTGACTGTCTGAGAAGGGTTTTACCTGAAGAAGGGGAAATCCGAACTGTAAAATGATTCGTTACTCACTATGTGACACAGTGTTGTATCATATACAAATTTCTCTTACTTTTATGTAAAGTGCCTTTTATCCAGAGTTGAAGCGTGCTTTCACTGCAGTAAATAAATGAGTAAATTAATGTAAAGACATGGTAACACATGGGGATATAAAACTTTCATGTTTATCTATCCATTTCTAACCTTTTAACTTTTTAATTTAGAATTTTCTCATTTCTAAACCCGCCCCACGCCCTCCGGTCCCAACTTCTTTTACCCTTTTTTACCCGACTTTTAAAATTTCTAAACACGACAATCAAAAAGCGAAACTATGCGCATTATCATTTGTTTGTATCTTATTTTAAAATAATCTCTAAATGAAGCGGAAGCAAAGTGAGCATCTTTAATGAACCAAAACGTTATTAACAATACAACTGTGTGACAGGAACACATACTGTAAAGCACAGGAAAAAGCTAATCCCAAAGGATTTCTGTCTGTCCCCCGTGTAGCTTTTTATATGTTACACGCAAATTTATGCAGCATCTGCAGGCGCAACGGTGCCACCGCGTTATTCTAGCACACAGAGAGCGATCAACTGGAACCACAGCTGTGGAAGCAAAAAAGTGTGACGACCAGGACCAGCAGACGACACCGTCTGTACTCTGATTCTATAGGCCTATTGTTCGTTTGACATATTCACATGCAGCAGTTGCTTATAGCGATGACGACGATGATGTTTAAGGTGATTACGGTGAAAAGGAAAAAAAAAATACAACTAATAAAATGATGATGATGAAGGTGGTGACAGATTTGCTGAGCAATTGTTCAGCAAACACTTTTCCTTCCCAGGACCTTGAAGGTCAGGTAACTGTAAAGCCTTTATAATGTTTGTGTTTCAGTCTGTCTAAGAAGGAAATGACTGAGGCAATGTAAAAGAAGTGCTGACCCTGAGGTTGAAAGAGAGAGAGGGAGTTTGGGCAGAATTGGACGGGAATGGACAAGCGAAGAGGAGAAAGGGTGAGAGACAAATTGAGGAAGGAAGTTTGGGAGCTCTTGGAGAGGAAAATTGCCGTGATGATGACTATCTATCGGTCGGCGGCGGCACAGGTGTGCTCTGATGTCATAGTAAAAACAACACAGACCAAAAATCTCAGAGCATTTGTGTAGGTAACATCTATACCAGTGAAGATTAAGGTGATTAACGATGTTTTTCAGCACCCTGTCAATTATTTTGCCATGTACTCTGTTGTCGAGCCAAGATAATCGTGAAAGCCTTATTCAAACATATGACACATTCAAAGTATATACAACCAACTTTGAAGAGATGACCTTTCTAATGATCACTGCTTGACCTTTGATCGGAGTGAGACATTTATCTTTTTCAACTGAAATAAGTTGTTAATTTCAGATACCCGTTTGTTTAATTTCCTCATTCAGTCATTCAAATGTGGTCTAAATCCAGCAAACAGAACTTGTTTGTCTGCTCTAAACGCCCATCATTTGAGGGCTTTTGTGCTAATCAGAATGTGACAACGAGCTTTAAGGGCTGATATTTTAAACAAAGATATCCCAAGTGGCCATGCTGTGCATGCATGCGATGTATGTGTGCGTTAAAACACACAGGCATATTTGTGAAAGCACGTGCATGAATGAGCAGCAGCCACATTGTCTCTTTAATATATTGTTATATAAGTGCAGCTGCAAATATTTTCTTGGAAATGATCCAGATCCCTTCAAAGTTTGGGACTGACCAGTCCAGTGCCGTGTGTATGTGTGCGTACATGCATGTAGGCGTGAACCTGCTGATTCGTGTGTGTGTGCGTGTGTGCTGGTATTGGTGGTGGAGGAAGAGGGGTGGTGAAGGTTCCTTATCTACAGGCCACAGGCAGCTTTTGAGGCTCTTATCAGCAGCCACCATATTGTACTAGCACATCCTCTTGTCCAGCAGGGAGCGGAAAACTCTCCTTGCAACACGGTTCCCTCTCGCTCTCTCTCTCTCACTCTCTCCCCTCCTCTCCCCCCCCCTCTCTCACTCTCTCTCCCACCTCACATTTGCCAGTACCAGAACTCTGGCAACCAGCGACAGCATTGTGTCTTCTTGGCGAAGAGATTGAGCGAGGGAAAGGACAGGCAGGACGGTGAAAGATAGAGAAAGACAGACAGACAGAGGGAGAGAGACGAGATTGACATATGGACAGGGGGTGATGGCGGAGACCCGCACCTTCCATCTCCACGTTTTGAGTGTGTCTTCGTTCAAAGGAGCAACTTCCAATCAAAAAAAACATACATCTACGTTTCCCAGTCGCTTGGCCTCGCTCTGACTTCTTCTCTTTGTAAATGTTTTTTTCTTTGAATATTTATAATTATTTATAAATGTTTAAGAATATGAGCAGTGGTATCAGACAGCGTGGCTCCAATTCTGACCTCATAAGTTGACAGACAGACGCTGACAGGCTGCAGTGGAGTGTGAGCGACTTAAAGGAGGAGGGAGAGGACGCTAAACACTGAGCAGATACATGTGCATTCTCCGATCACTCGAACTCTGAGGGATTTTGTACGCCATACTCACGAGCCACAGTGGATGTCATAATGTATATGTAAGTATTAAAGGTTACCTATTGTCTTACTTGTTGTTCAAATTGTACGCAAATAGTTTGCAGGAAGTAATGCTTATTTAAATACTAGTAATAATAGCACAATACACATACATGATGTCCAATACATCATGTATCTATTCATTAAAAAATATTAATAATGTATTATATTTCTATTATTGACAATATATTCTAGTTAACTGTTTGAAAACATAGGATTTCTGATTTCTGTCCTAATTTAAATTATAACATTTTACCCCCAGTTATCTATTTATTTATGTAAAAATATAATACACTCTGTTTGGCTACTCGAGCAATATAGGAAAATAACAAGTGGCCTTACCAGAAAGAAAGATATTGAACAAAAATTTAAAAAAAACTTTAAGAGTTAATAACATTTTTGTCACAATTGTAAATTGAACCAAAAAAAACGAGGGGACTTCTGAAAGCATTGCTTTGTGTCTTTCACTACAAAAACGAATCCTCTTTAAAATGTGTGCTTCAAAAGTAAACATGCTGGGCCTTACATTTAAAAATCAATACAATGGTTGACAAACTGCTGGGGATATGCTGCAAAAAATATATATTTATAAAGAATTAGCTGCAAATGTCATTCCTACACATCACTGCGAAAGACGGAACTGTCCAAAATAAAGTCATGACCACCAGAAAAGAAAACAGGAACAATTGCGATTGCAAAACCTGAAAAATCATGAGCTGTAAGCTTTGCAAGACAGACTAACGAGCAGCAATTTGTAAAGTACAAGAATGAATTTACTCCATATGTCAACATTTTAAAATTGCATCAAACTTCTAAATTTACAATTGAAATAAATTTCTGATGAACTGAATCCAGATTTTAAGCCATGCATCAGCTTATCAGAAACTGTTGCACTGCACGTGTGCAAACTGACCTTTAAGCACATTTTCATATCTTATAGTCTTTGCTAAACATACATCAAATATATATCCTGAGTCCATTTTTCCCTTTGTTTTGTTCAACAGACTCTTTGATATCAATCCAATCGTCAGCGTTCTGGGACTTTTGGGGTCCGTAAAAGGATTTTGACTCATATCCTCAAAATACATGTGGACAGACAGATAGACGGATAGACTTATTAAGAGAAGCCACTAGAGACTCGTTCAAAACCAAAAAAGAATTTGCTACTCGGGATGTACAGTAAAAAAAAAAAAAACAACACAAAAAAACCAGACTTCCCCATCACATCAAACTGCAAGAGCCACCTCCTTTATATGCTGGAGCCAGAGACTTAATCACAGCATTAGCCCCTTATTTAAGTTAGCAAATTCTATCCAACTACGTTTAATTTAAATTGAACATGGAAATTAATTAATTTGCTTTACTGGAACATTGTGCAATATTGTGTTACATTATATTACAGTTGTGCAACAGCCATCATGAGTAATAAGGCTGTATGAAAACCTCCTAAGCGTGTAACAGCAGGTGTCACTGTGAAGATTCATGAAATAATTAATAATATTGTAAAATCTAAATAAAACTGAACTGATGTTAAAAGACTTGTATGCTGAGAAATAAGGACAATTCATGCATGTATGTAGAAATGCTAAAATATTGAAAAATCTGTAGAAAAGTAGAACAAAGGAAAAGTAAATAAAGGGTTAAAAGACTCCAGGCCAGGAGAAATTTTTAAGGCCCTGTAGGACTAGCTGCGTGTGCCGGAATATAAATACATTAGTGACTCTCGTGTAAAACACCACAGGGACGAGACACAGACTTGCAGCACGCACGCTGGGCAGCTGAGAAGAGCGACACCTTGACAGTGACGGAGTTTCCTTCAGAGACTTCACCACCATGATGGAGAAGCTGAACTCCACTGGCCCGCCTGCCTCACCCCACGACATACCTCGCCCCTCCTCCTCTTCTTCATCCTCTGCCTCCTCACCATCGTGTGCATCCATGGAGCATAGCAGCCCTCTCTACAGCCAGCAGTCAGCATCCTTGGATGCTATCGGCAGCCCACAACCCACTAACAAGACAGGGCACAAGGGACACACGGATGTCCCTACTCCTGGCTCGACACAAGCCCTCATCACCCCAAACACAGTGTTAACCAATCACCAAGCAGATACAACTGCTGCACCTGAGCCCATTGCCATGGAAACGGAGGAAGAAGAGGACGAGGAAAAACTAGGGGGGCCAAAGAGCACCACTGCTCCTGCTGCTTCAGCCAACGGGTCCCCAACTCTTTCCTCGCCACCTCCACTCCTCCCGGCACCAGCAAAGACTTCCCCGTTCCCTCTTCCCCCTCCAACCTCCACAGCTGCCTTCCCTTCATCCTCATCATCCTCTCCTCTTCCTCCTCACATTCCAGTTATCAGCCTTGGCCACAGCAAGCCCCCACTGCCACTCCCAAATACCCCTTTGACTGCCCTCCACCCAATTCCCAATCTCCTACATGGGCCACATGGAGACATTCGCCGCGGCCATTTGAACTGTTTACCTGTGGTCAGCCCCGGAGCTTCTGGATCTACTGGAGGTCCCGTAGGTCCCACAGCTGCTTCTTCAGGGCCCCTGTTGCCTCATCAGTACCTGCCTGGTCACCCCTTCTTTACTAGGTGAGATTATACAAATTTGAATTCATTCATACACAGTGTGAGTCACTTAGACTGCTCTTGTTTCAAGAAGTTATGAGTGCTGCTACACCATGAATAAAGTGAGTCTGGATCTTTATGCAGATCAGTATACGATATTTTTGGGGGAACATCTGGATCATGTCTCCCAATTTTCCTTTTTCAATTTGACACTAATTTCTGAAGATAGACTGCAATTATGCAATCAAAGAAACCTTTCAATTCAAAAATTCCTGTATCTACTCCAAACGTTAAGCAGGATTGTGTTGGTTGTTTGTTGTTGTTGGATTTTTTTTTTAAAGAAAAGAATCCTTTAAATTACTTTTGGAGTAATCCAAACATTCAACAGAAAAAGACAATGAAACCAAAGACAAACTCATTAGACAAGGCCCTACTTTTGACTTCAAATTAATATATTTGAAGGCTAAAGCAAGTAAAGCTAAAGTATCCACAACAAAAAAAAGATTGATGCAAGGTAAAAAAAAAAAAAAAAAAGAAGAAGAAAAATGCATATTTGTAATGCTACCTTTTATCTGCTCGATTAAAAACTGCAACATTTGCTGACAGTGTGGTTAAAATGATCAGTGCAGTGCATGAATATGTTTATTGAATGAATTTGTTTCATTGGAAGCAAATAATTCTAGAGGTAAAATGAAAAAGTTATAAATTATGTAAAATAACCATCGCATAAATTGGAACATTATGTAAAATAAAGTATCGCACACTCATTGACTTCCTTTCGAAAAAGCCTGCAAACAGATGCGGACAACTAAACTATAAAACTCACTACAGTACAGCTTCCTGACACGCTGCTATCGAGGATGATGCCACTTTTCTCGCTGCAATGCCAAGTTTCAGATAAAACCTCAACTGCTCGGATTTCTCGACTTCCCATCATGATTAATAGCCGCTGTGCTGCGCTGTTATGTGAAAATGACAGCAGGATGTGTGCTGTTTTGAAGGGACCTCACATTTCTCACGCTAAATTTACCCAGCAGACCTTTTGGTTACCGAACACAAATTGAATCAGTGAATGTTTTTTTTCTTTGTGTGTGTGTGTGCGTGTTTGTGTGTGTGCATTTAGCAGCCAAGTAAAAAACCTTTACTTGAATATACCACTTTTCTAAACTATACATCCAGTTTTAATTACAGCTAATTTTAATCCTTAAACTGACAAAAGGAAGCAAACCAGAACTCTTAAAGCTCTTTTTGGGCCCGAGCAACTGGCAGCTCTTCTTTTACTCCTGTGAAGAAAGGCATTAATTTGCAGTCTTTATCAAAGCCCTCCTACTGTTCCTCTATTCTCTACTCCAAACGGCATTTTCTACACAGTTTTCTCACAGAAGAGTAGAAAAAGTGGGACTTTTTTTGCACAGTGGATATATCTGTGGCTTCCCCATCTGTCATGGAGGTCTGGGAATAAGCTTCTCTCCCCTTTCCTCTCTGGTTTGTTTGTAGCAGGAAGCATTGATCTATTTCATCCCCCCTGAAGTAGAATCAGCTAGTAACCAAGCTTAATGAGATTGGGTTAAAACTCTGCATGCACACTCAATCAACGCCACCACTCACATTCACACCTCCATTAATGACTTCCACCATGTTCCTGCTTTCTTTTGCCACTCTTTATGATTTCTCCCTATTCAGTTGCTATAGGAAGGAGGACGAAATGCCAAAACAACCTTATATGTGTCTTGTTTTTATTTATATGTAGCTTATTTTTACTTGTTTGACTGTAAATACGATCCCACAAATGATTCACATAGTGTTTGCCTTTCTAGTTCGTACCTGGGTTCTTCAGGAGGAAGCTATGGTGTCATCAGCAACAACCGCATCAAGAGGAGACCCTCCTCGCACTTTGAGATGGAGATGAATGAATGTGAGTTTCTGTGTGTACATGCGACACTATTATGGAGATAATTATTGTTTGAATGTTTTGAACTGTAATTTGGGGAAATTGATGTCCACATTTTGGAGATGAAGGCATATATTTAAACTATTTAAAGAGTATGTGGCAATGTTATGTACTTTTTTCACTGCCATCACATCCTGTGAGAAAAACATACTTCCACAATTTGCTAGTCCATCTCTCAGTGCTTTTCTATATCCTGCCATGGGTATAGGAATATACCCCTGGCACCACATGCCACTTTTTTTGGAACTGAAAACCAGCTCATGGCCCAAAACCTCCTGCAGAGGAATCTAATCGTTAAAAATGGATCACAAATATTTAATATTCTTCCAAAGTCTAATTAATCCCCTCCCCCTTTTGTTAGCAAAGTTATTTTAAAAAAAAGTTGGTGATGATTTGAAGGATTTGTTAAAAAAAAAACAACTTTTGGACTAAATCTGTGTTTATGTGTGTTTAACAGGCCCTCCCCAAAAACTCGCCCGCCGCGTCTTCACCAACAGCCGTGAACGCTGGCGACAGCAGAACGTCAACGGGGCTTTCTCGGAGCTGAGGAAACTCATTCCCACGCACCCACCTGACAAGAAACTCAGCAAGAACGAAATCCTCCGCCTGGCCGTGAAGTACATCAACTTCCTGGTCACACTGCTCAATGACCAGGATCAAGACAAGAGCAGGGACTCGGCTGAGGATGATGTGGAGGATGAGAGCATGGCTCCTGGTTTGGCAGGCAAAAAACTGAACCCTCGTTTTCAGTGCGACACTCCGCCACCATCCCACTCTGCCCTGCCTGCGTCAGCCCGTCCCGCTTTGGCGTTAGCCCACAGAGACAGAGACTCAACTGACTCAATCAGTGCCCTGGTTAATTCCCCAGCAACGTCCAGTTGCTATGGAGACACAGACAGTGAAGAAAGCTTTGGTGCTAAGACCTCTGTGGTGACCCAAGGCATTCTGGGAAAGGTCAAGAGTCAGATAGGGATGGTGGCAGCATCGAATGATGAGCGGTGACACCAAAAGGCAGTAAACACTGGGAGTTTAAATGCCAGGCAGAGACGGAGATGTCAAAAGTGTTTGATCAATTGCAGAAAGGTGTGAATAAGTTTTAAAAAAAAAGAGGGATTTTTTAAAATGAATTTTGCAGGTTTGAGAGCTTCTTTGTCTTTTCTGGCAATGTTGATTGTGAAGCTGTCATTTAGTGAAACACCAAACTGTGCTTTGAGGAAGGCTGAGACATGAAACTTAACAGAACACTCAAACCAGCTTCATATCCAAATATGGTAACAATGATCCTTTAATAAACATTATACAACTAAAACAGTAGAAGAAGAAAGACACGAACAGGGCCCTGATTACACGTGCTTATAAAGGTAATCCGGGGAATTTAAAATCTTCTTAGCAAATGGATAAAAATGGAAGATCTGTCAGAAAAAAGCATGAAAATCAAATATTTTGTCAGTCTCTGAAGTTTACATGTAAATAATCAGCCTTGCCTCAGTGCAGTTATGGTAACTTAAGAGTGCCTGCAGAGAAATGCATTGCATGCAGTGGTGATTTGACTATGCCGTTTCTTAATGTCCTCGCTGCTCTAATTGTCTGAAAAGCAGGGCCGATGGTTCCGCCCTGACATTGTGACACACTTGTAAGAGACAGAAATAAAGTGTGTTTTAGTTTGCTGTTCCTTATTTGACATCCTCTTACTGCGCTCCAAAGACTGCTCTATGTCAGCACGATTTCTCAACACATTCAAATGTTTTGCCGCTCTCGGTTTAGCATACTTGTGTATGCTCAAACTGACCAGTAAGTAGCATAAAATGAACACAATGACCAAACTGCTAGATTATGAGATTAAAATGGTTTATGGTGATTGGAAGTTCGCTTCTTTTAACTTTATTTTGAAAAATCTGCACGTAAGTCATGTGTCCTTCTGTTTGTCCATAACAAAGCTGTCAGCGCGAGTAGCCAAAGCACAACTCCATGCTGTTTACGTGTGCTGTTCACCAGAATGACAGATGACTGACAATAGTGTTTCAGCATGGAAGCCATAAACAACACAAGTAAAAAAATAAAACTAGTGAGTGACGTGACACCGAGAACATGGATCTACAATTGCCCTGCCATTCCTGTAGCAAGTCCAGCAAACCGAAAAACAAATGTTTTCCACAAGGCAATGAGGTTTTCCCAAGAAGCAGACTTTAAAGCGTTTTTATACTGGTGGAGGATTTACAGATGAATGCCCAGTCTGACAATATAATACAACATTATAGGCACAATTTGTGATCACAAGCAAATTTGTGGTGAATTAAAATGAAGACAGTGTGTGCATGTATGTGCGTTAAATGTTGAAGAACAAGGGGAAAAAACTGTGAAGGCAACAATTTTTTCGTGTGTGGTTGCGTTTGCGGAAAGTCAGGGTGGATGTGGGATGCGGTTGAAGATGGGGTTCAGAATGGTGGAGGAAAGTGAAAAGTGTTCGGGAGGGAGGGGGCTTGCAGCTGTTGCCGTGGTGCGGGTGTCTGTCTATCAATTGGCCAGGAAACGCTTACAGTTAGTGCTGTCTCATTTACGGCCAACGAGTTTCCTGGAGGTTGGGTGGTGGCGGTGTGACTGTACCATGTTTGATGGGTGTTTGGATGTGTGGGGTAGCAACCGCTGCATAGAAGAAGGGAAGATAGGAGGAGGAAAAGAAAGAGAAAACAGCCACCAGGGTGCCCTGGGAAGCCCTGTACACTTGGTTTCAGGATCATACAACAGGAAGAACTGCTTTCACAACATTGCTGTGACTGCATCTGCCCACTCGGCTGTGCTAAGCTGGGCCTTCTCCTCCCTGCTTCACTCTGAAACCTCAGAGAGGATTACAGAGTGAAGCAGGGGTCATGCAAATTAAAGATAGTGTGTCACTTTGCAGTTGTACAAATTGAATTATTCAAAGATTTTTTGGATAACACACTAGATTTATTTGAGTTGTTTAACAACAACAACAATATATGATTTATGGGTTAGACATTAACCCGTTTTATCTTGTAAGCTTGTCCCGATAAAAAAGCAAACTGTTGAAATGTATTATTACTATTGTTACTACTGTTATTTATTCAAAAATATTTTTATGGCTGCACAGTACAGTTCAGGAAATAAACCCTCAAAATTGTAATTCAAACTGCTGGGATGTCAACCTTCTCGACTTCTGATACAGGAGGCCGCGCAGGGTGATGCTAGCCAGCCTGGGACTTAGAGATAATGCCAGTGCCTCCACCCTACCTCCTCCTCCCACCCTCAGTTGTGTCCCTCTTACGACCAGAAGCACACCCACTCACGTAAATAAATCCAATAAACGGAGTGAATTCTGCAAACTATAAACACAATTCCAAAAGATTTGGGGATGTGGCGTAAAATGTAAACAAAAAAAAATAGTGATTTGCAAATGTCATAAACACATATTCACAAGAGAACAGAAAACAGATAAAAAAAACTGAGATTTTACTATTTTGAGAAAAATATTATCTTATTTTAATCTCCACAACACATCCGAAAAAGCTGGGATGGGGCCACAAAAGGCTGGAAAATTAAGCATTCCTAAAAAGACACTGCTGGAGGAACACTGAAAATAGGACAGTTACATGAATGTGTATAAAAACACCATCTGTTTCTCAGAGTTTCTCAGAAGCAAAGATGGGCTCATGTTTACTAATCAGCAAAAAACTGCATCTACAAACAACATGTTCAGAAAAATGTTCATCAACATAAATTTGACTTTGGATCATCTACGCTACATGGAATCAAACAAGTCTAAGAATCTGGAGAAATCTCTGTCAAGGCCAACAATTAATATTAGATGTCCATGACATTTGGGCTCTCAGGCAGCACTGCATTAAATACAGGCATGACTCTGTCATGGGCTCAAGAAGAGACACCATCGTCTTTGAGCGCAGTTCACTGTGCCATCCACAATGCAGCTTAGAGCTAAATCATGCAAAGGAGGAGACATATGCGAACATGATCTAGAAACACTGCCATCTTCTCTGGGCCAAAGCTCATTGAAAATAAACTGAGGCAAAGTGGAAAACTGATCTGTGGTTACACAAATCTTATTTTTAAATTCTTTTTGAGGATGCTACATCCTCAAGACCAAAGAGGAGAGGAACCATCTGGCTTGTTATCAGGCCTCAGTTCAACAGCCTGGATCTCTGATGGTATGGGGTTGCATTAGTGTGCACGGAAATGGCTGAATTCTAAAAGGTATACGTGGCTTTTAGAACAATATATGCTTCCATGCAGATGACATCTTTTTTCCAGGGAAGGCATCGCATATTTCAACAAGCTGCAATAGATGCATACAGCATCTGTTACAACAGCATGATTTACTAGGAGAGGCTGGGTGCTTTCACAAACACATTTGGCACATAATGAAACAAAAAATATGACAAAGAAGACACATGACTGCTGAGAAGCTAAAATTATATACAAGATAGGACTTGGACATTGCAGTTTAACCATTTGTTCTCTGCCTTCTGTTGTGAATAAATTTAGTTTAACATTTCCAAACTTTTTGTTTTTTTTATTTTAATCTTAAACTCTGTCCCTTTTTTGGAATAGGGTTCATAGTTCTAGCATACAATTTGATCTGTGTTAAGTCTTACACAGGTAAAATCATTTTACGGTCAGTACCTCTGCTCTTCTGCATAGCTGCCTGTTTTTTCAAACTCTCCACCCCCAGCATCCACCTGTAGGCTACAGGGAGAAAAATATCACTTGTCAATTTATAAAAGCAGCAGGATGAACTCAAGCTAGATGCAAAGTAACTATACTCTGATGCTATAATAAATAATTACAAATGCAAAATCTCTTACTGAACTGAATTTGACACATTCATTACGGCCTAAACCTGAATGTGAGAAGTAATGTCATAATGTTTGTAGTCATGAAGCAGGTTTCGCTTGCTGAAAATACTGTCAAAGATTTCATAAACGTGAAACCAAATTCAGTATATAAAGGTTAAAAAGTGAAAAACTGTCTATTGTTGTTAAATCAAAAATGTTCGTAAAAAATTTTTCATGCTCTGTGGTTCAGCACCAAAAACACACAAAAATGCAATGACTTTCTGATGACAACTTTTAATCAAAAAACACTGTGACCAATTCAGGGTATGATTTACAGAATTTCCATCAATATACAGATTTTAATATTCTTTTTAGTCACTCGTTTTGTTAAATCACTACCTTTGACATTATCAAAAATAGTCATACGTTTTATCATTCCTTTGCATATTTTGATGTCTTGCAAACATGTATCAACATTCAGAAAAGTATTTTCATTTATATATTATTGCTTCAATATCAATATGTGTAACTCATCTATTAATAAATGTCACACTCGTCTGTACTTATCGAGTGTCTCAATAAAACATGTAGCGATAAACTGAAGTTATAATCGTCTCAAATCAAATTCATTTTAAAGTATTTTATGCCTCAAAAATTACACAACAGTCAAAAAGCTGAAAATATTATTTCACAAGAAAAAAAAAAAAAAGCACTTTTACATTTGCTATACAAACATCTGTCAGTCCTTCATTCAGTTTTCAAAAAATTCTCTCCCCGTTTTCTCACTGCGTCGATGTTCTTGTTTACTGTTCTGTCAACGTTTCTTGCAGCGTCTTCTGTCTTCTCTGTTGTGCTTCTCTTGCTGAGTTTTCGCCTGCCCACCTCTGTTACTGCAGATCCAGCAGCTGCCCCAACAGCTCCGCCAATCACACCGCCCAAAAGCACACCGAGCACCAGACCCAGCAGTGCCCCGCCAATGACTACTTTGGGCACCTGTTTAGCTGTATTTCCAATTTTCTCCCACACTGAACTCTCAGCCACCATTTTGGCCCCTGCCTTGGCTCCAGAGCCTACTTTTCCCCACACGGGACTCTGTGCCAAATTCTTTGCCCCAGCTCCAATTCCAGCCCCGACACGCATGGAACTCTCTGCCATGACTTTGGCCCCTGAACCCACTTTTTCCCACATTGGACTTGCAGCCGCTGCTTTTGCTCCAGATCCCACCCACGCAGAACCATCTACCACTACCTTGGGAACTTTATTTCCTACTGCTTTGGAGAGATTTCCTGCAGTAACTCCTACCTTCTCCCACACAGAACTATCAACCACCATCTTTTGGACACTTTGTGCACTAGTGCCAACTTTTTCCCACATTCCACTATCTTTCATCCTCTGTGCTCCCTCTCCAACCCACACAGAGCTATCTGCCAACAGCTTGGGTAAATTCTTTGCACCCGTGCTCATCTTCTCCATTATGGAACTAAGTAGTGAAGGGGATATGGTCGAAAGTGTAATTGGAGGAAGACTCTCAATATTTGTAGTACTTACACTCATCTCGGCCTCATCCCTTGTTTTCTCAATATCATCTTCCGTCACTTCCTCGTCTACTTCAGAAACAGACTGCATGTAAGGATAAAGCTTTCGCCTTTCAGAGCTGAGTGGGCCAACATCCTCTACTCTTGCTAGGTTTTCGCCTCGTTTCTCTCTTGCCATCTCTTGCTGTTTCTGCCTCACTCTGTTCTCGGCCTCCTGAAAAGCAGGACAAGAATAATACTGCCCCCCGGCCTCCTTCACTGTCTGCTCCACCTTTTCTAGCAGGTCGGCAACATTGCTCTTCTCTCCCCCACCTCTTTCTGTCTCCAAAACATGAAATCTGTCCCCACATTTCTCCACAATCTTTAACAAATCTCCTCGCTGACCAGCAATGTATGCCTCAATGTTCTTATTTTTGGCCTTCCCACTTGCCCTGAGACGATCAGCATAAGTAAAGAGGACCAAAGTGTGTCTCCAGACTGCTTCAGGCCCAAAAACAGCCTCTAGTGACGCAAGAGCCTGCAGCTCGGTCTTTGCAGGCTGGTCTAAGGGAACACAAAAGAGGAAGACATGCGGGCCGGGACTGGACAGAGCCACACAGGAGGAGATCTGAGCTCGCACCTCATCTGGAGTGCGCTCTGAATTGAACCAGTCTGGAGTATCCACCACTGCCACCTGCAGGTGACAGAGAAAATGCATGCAAAAATGTAAAGAGCTATTATCAAAAGCAACAAAACAAGAAGAGAGTATGAAACACTTTATTCTTTGAGATATTGTAATGGGTGTATGTTGAGATAAATAGAAAAAAAAGACATCTTAGTAACTTAAAAAACAAAACACTAACCCTTCTTCCTTTAACCAATGCCTTCTTTTTCTCACACCATTGTGTGATTGCTATGAGGCTGTCTGGACGTGACTCAAAGGCTTCCTGCCCCAGTATTTCATTGCCAGCTGCACTCTTCCCTGATCCAGATCTTCCAAGCAACACCAGACGAAGCTCCGGAGAAGATGAGGATGAGGACAATGAGGGGGAAGAAGGGATTGAGCTGGATGAGGAGATCAAGGAAGGAGAGGCAGCAAAAGTTGGTGAGGAGGGGAAGGAAGAGGAGAAGACTGGCGAAAGAGGAGTAGTGGTAGGCGAAACCTCGGGTGATCTCTCTTCAAAGCTGTTAATTCTGTGGTGAACTGAAACCATCAGGTAAAAATCAGAGTCAGTGACGTATTAAGAAGTGAAGTGCTGATAGTGACATATGAGAGAGTGAAGTCCTTTGACTTACAAGTAGAGATCACTTTTTGAGTTGATTTATCCTCTGACATTTGGGAGAGTATAGCTCCATCTAGTGGGGAAAAGGCAAGTTTTGCTCACTTTTGTCTTTTTTTTTTTAACTCTTCTAAAAGAATGAATCAGGGTACAATAATGGAGGACAGCACACGATTAGTGGCATTTACCTCGATTCAGTTTGAAACTGGGTATCCTTTTTAACTCCCCGGTATCACAGAGCTCGGAGGATGGCTGTCGCTCTAGAGCTGGAGTTGAATAAAGGCTACTGGAGACCTGGCTCACCTTAACTCCTTCCACCATTTCCTCCATTTCTTCTCTTCTCCTCCTTGATTCTGTTGATATGGCACTGACATACTCATTGGACACCTGGCTCACCTTAACTCCTTCCACCATTCCCTCCTTTTCTTCCTGTCTCCTCCTTCTCTCTCTTGAAATGGCATTGAAGTACTCTTCCTCTTGACTTTCTGTGTTTGGGGTATAAGATGATGTGTGGGTCTTTTTCTTCTCTTCCTTTTGAGCCCTGAAACTTTCCATAAGTTGCTCCTTTTTTTCTTTCACCCGTTTTTCCAGCTCTCTATCCTGGACTGTTTTCATGTAGTATAACCCGTTTTTCCGCGCCATATTGTCCACCTGTAGATAAATAAACAAACAATAGTAACTTATTGCAGGAACTTTAACTCTGTTTTGTGAGTCACAGTTAGAAAACAATCACAATCGTCGCTAATATTCAAACCAGTCCAGACTACAACAGGGTGTGATGTGAAACTAGGCGTTCCTGGAAAAACAGCATGCATGCATACTTGCTCAGTAGTCTTAAAGAAACCATTAAAACAAAAAGCTCCAACCTATAGAGTATTTAAAAAATTCAATGCACTTAAGCAATGAGGAAGTCTCATCCAAATGATAAAATGTGTGAGGGCACGAACGCTCACACTTTTACTGAATCAGACAAACCCTTTGAGGAATGTTGCTTTTTGATAACTGTTTTTCACTCCTACTTCATACCTTTTCCAGCAGCTCACGGACCTGGTCCCTGTCCTGTCGCTGACGATTATTGATGACATGGTACCGTCCTCCGCAACCCTCAATTACCTGCCTCAGGCCTGGGTGCTCTTTCTGCAGGTACTCCTGTGAGAAAACAATGCAGCTTGTGTGAATTTATACCTGCAATGATTAGCATCACTCCTATATGTTGTACTCCAAGAATAAGATAACCACCTAAAATATTACTGACAGCATATTTACAAAACCCAACACGAGACAACATTTATTCATAAACAGTGTTGGGACTAACGCGTTATTAAGTAACGCGTTACAGTAACTACGTTATTATTGTGGTAACAAGCACGGTAACTAGTTATTATGCCAAAATCAGGAACGCGTTAGTCGTTACTGGGATTTAGATAGGGTCGTTACTCGTTACTTCGTGTGGTGGCTATCGCGGAGCTTCCACAGATTCAGTAACATTAGCAAGTGGTGGAGGCCAGCAGGTGGATGAAGGAAAGGGAGCAAAGGAAGAGACCCGAGGCGGCCGCCGGTCTGTCAAGTGTGAACTGAACTTCAGGTAAGAAGTTATGACCTGCAGTCTCTCTGGGTCAGATATGAAACCAAGTTTAGGTGGAGTTTATTTTCGTTATTCTGACTTTTTCCGTACTGCGTGCTAGCTAGCATGACGGAGTTTCTATACAGCTGGGTGGTGCTATGGTTAACTGATGTTGAACTTTATTTTGTTCATAAGTTATTAGAGTTGCCAACCGTCCCGTCTGGTATTCAGAGAAAATATTACGCGTTTCTTATTGAGGTGAAAAGGAACAGTTTGTCCCGTAATTCAGCTACAATGGAAAAAGACACAAAGCTGGAGTTATTCTGTGTCTTTGCTGCACAGCTGCCTCTTCTTCTCTCATTCTCCCCCCTCCCTCTCCCGTTTCTACTTCAATCATGAAACTGATCAATGATCAGCTGATCGGCTCTCTTGTTTGTTTATCGCTCACTTTGCGCCGAAAAGAGGAAACCAGCGGATGTCGCGCTAAACAACAGCAGCACGTTTAAGCTTGATCAGCTGTTGTTAGAATTTATTTAATATTAATTTCTAGTATCAGCTGATGTTTGCTGGAGCCACAGCTGAAAAAGCTGCTGGTCATGATATGGTTTGGTTATCTGGTGAGAGGGAAACATGAAGATGAAACCAGGAGATGTCCTTACTGAATCATCAGAGCTGAAGTGATGGAGAAACAGGTTTACCTTTTAGGTGACATGAATGAGTTGAAGGGAAGTTATGAACTGTTTCTGAGAGACAAATAACACCAGGATCCTTTTTTAGGTAGCTGACAGCTGGTAACTGTGCAGGGGCGGGTCTAGCAAAGTTTGCCAGGGGGCAGGTAGGGCATTAACAGGGAGAGGGGGGCACAAAGAAATACTTTTCTTTCTTATTCTCATTTAAAATGTCTAGCTTTTAAAAAATAATTATCTGAATCTTACAACAAACGATTGATAGATTGATGCATATATACCATCAGAACAGTGTACATCACTGTCACAACAGTGTTTATTTTCATTCAAAGGCTTTATGATTTTTCCTATAATGGTGGGCCGGTCTCTAGTCAAAATGCCCGGGACAATTTTCTGTCCCAGTCCAGCCTGTATGCAGCTCATCTGCAGTCTGGTGTTACCTACATCTTCCTATTCAGAAGGCAGAATTTCCTGAGTTCTGAGTACAATCGAAAGCACCACGACTGCAGTTTTTGTGTTGGATGTAAAAGGCGCACATGACGCTGTGACGTAGGCTAGAATCATGGCAGCAGTCAATGACGGTCCAGGCGTGGGATTTCTCTCGTGGAAATATGCACATTATCTTTTCCTTTCTATTGGTAGGTGGCACAGTGCACTTGTGGCAAGTAAGCAAGCTAGAAGACTGGCAAAGTTATGGAAGAAACACATTAACAAGAGAATTCTGAGTAAAACCAAAGTTACTTTCCCTAGTAACTAGTTACTTTGAAAGTAACGAGTAACTTGAAGTAACTGAGTTACTTTTGAGAGCAGTAACTAGTAATGTAACTAAGTTACTATTTTAAAGTAACTTACCCAACACTGTTTATAAATAAGGGGCCAGGTCGTAAGTTAATAGGTGAAACTATGCTGTTTTATAGTGGTACTAAGTGACTTTCCTGCTTTATAAAGATCAGCTTAAAGAGAGGGTAGGTGAACACCTCTCATACCTCCACTGTTTTTCCCATCAAGTAGTCCCCACAGGTCAGCATGACCATGGTGTGGTCCAGCACCTCCTGTCCAAACAATTCCTCCAACTCTGCAGGCACACGTGTCTCCACCTGCGTGGGGAAAAGGCAAAGGGAAAAATGGATCTAAACTGGTTACTGCTTGTTATGGAGATGTTTCAGAACATCTTAAACTTGTATATTTGGAACACATTTTTTTTCCACTGTAGTTTGATAGATAGACATTTTTTTATTGAGTACACATTACAGACTGCAACTTCAACAAAGTTGAGCAACAGATGACATCACTAACGGGCAAGCCAAGACTAACCTCTGTGAATTGGTTAACAGGCACCAGCAGCAAAATAGCATGTGGGCCTGGTGGTACCAGAGTCATTGCTCGCTGTGTCTCCTTTTTGACACTGTCCTCCATCTTGCCACCACTCCAGTACCATCTCGGTGCCTCCACCAGGGTCACATTCCTGCCTTCAATGAAGCCCTGCCGTAGCTGGCAGCTCCTGGAGGCACCGGGAGAAATGGGGGAAAGCTGGGCCAGGATAGTGTCCGCTAATGCTGTCTTTCCACATCCGATATTCCCCAAAAGAAGCAATCTCAGGTCTGAGGACGAGGATCCATAGTAGCTTTCTCTGTAGTGTTCACCCATCCCTGACATGAATAAAGGAAACAGGAAGGAGTCCAAAAAAACAAAAGAGAGAGAAATTGAGGACAGTATATCACCTGTGTTATTTGTAGGAAGCTACACCAACCAACCAAAATAAAAGCTGTCTTTTAATACTAGGTTTTATTGTTAGGTTTTGCCTAGACAAACTCACACATAACTTTACATGCAAATAAACCTGGAAAACAGACAACTGGATCAGCTGAGCAGGTTCAGCTAGGCAGATTTTATCAGTCAACTTACTATTTTAAGCATCAAGTAATCATACAATCTTAACAGAAACGGATAAAATGCCATCTTAAACTTAACTTGAAATCTTTCTCCTCTATTCCCACACGAGTCTCTCTGCACACAGGATACCTACAGTTCCTTGTTGTGCATGAATGAACAAAAACTAAAGTAATTCACTGGTAGTTTCACTGGAAATGATTGTGGGTCACATCAATTTCATCTCAGTGTTTGATACCACACCTTGCGATTCCTGTCAAACAACATTCTGCCTGGACTCATATATGCAAAAAGGTACAAACCAAATCCATACTGAACAAACAGCAATGAGAGTTGATGAAGCATTTCAAATAGTGCTGTACTTCATAAGTATACTTGCTTTGGCACAAATTCTAAATTAGGTGTGAATCTATTGCTGAAACTGTAATAAATAGTTTGAGTTTCTGGATGTAGTTTGAGCTAACCTAACAACTTATTTCCTCAAATATGACACATTATATATCAACAATGTAGTAATTTCAATGTAATTTCAGTAATTAAAGTAATACAACTAAGAAACGTAACATGATTGCAATTAATCAACAAGTGCATAACATTAACTAATTTAACAATTAATTCTCTTACACCAAGACAATCTTACAACAACAATTTAAGCAACAAGACGAATACTTACTCAAGAGTTTAAGGTCTACAAAGTTGCGTTCATGTGTTGTCTTGTGTCAATACTGAGTTTTTTTTGGTTGGCACTGGGTTATATTTCTCACGCAGACAACTTCAGTACATGCTAGTTCCCAGTCGACTGGCAAAAGCCGTCTGCTCAGATGAGGTGTCTCGCCTGAGCCACTCCCAAATTTAAACACATTCATACATGAGTGCACTCGTAAATATATTTTTTGATACAACAGGTTTCTCAGTTTGTAGGTTGCTAAGCATTCCAACCTGGGGTGGAGGCAGTATAACCAGCTGCCACTGGGAATCGTTCCAAGATAGTTTTAACTACCACACCTATGATATGTCAAAACTCATAGAGATCTGTTAAAGGAGGTGTCCTTCATGGTTTGCAGTTGCTAAGGATATTACCTGGTCAACCAGGTCTGTAAATATGTTGCTGTCATAACCAGAAAGAAATGAAAGCATGAAGGCTTGTCACAGACAAACAAAGTTACAATGTAAAGACGGAATAAATGCAAGAGGAACATTATTCTGCTTCTTTTGTGTGTTACACGAATGGAAAATTTAAAATAAAATAATAAAATAACTTTTCTTCCTACGGAATCATGAAGCATAAAACTTCAAGTCTTCATGGCCTTCCATATGAGTAAGAGCTGTTAAGTTTCATTTCAACATCAAAGTAATTACAAACAGACCTCTTGATTAATGTCACTAACACTTAGTCATTAAGGATTCAAATGTTAACCTGTTTTCAGTAATTTGCAAAACAAGAAAATTGCTCTTTCAGCATATATTCATGGCTGTGATTAAAGTAGCTGGGTAATATTTACAGATTTGCACACATCCCCACAGCTTCATCCTCAAATATTTTCTTGTATTCCCACTTGCTAGTACTTGGCTAGGCCCCCTTGCCTTGGTTCTGCATGGCAAAGAGTCAACAAGTTGCTGGAAATATTTCTCATAGTTTCTGGTCGATATTGATATGATCGCATTGTACAGCTGCTGCAGATTTGTTGGCTGCACATCCAGGATGTGACTACTGAATTGACTACTGACCTGGTGACTGTGGATGACATCCGAGTACAATGAATTCATTGTCATGTTCAAGAAACCAGCTTTTTCTCATCTCATCAAGAACATTTTGTAAGAATATTTAAGTTGACTATACATACCCATTCTGTACAAACAAAACACAAGATGGTATTCATGTACATTTATTATTGAGTTACCAGGCAAATGTAAATATGTGATGCCTGATCTCTACTGTGGATTACCCACTACTTCTAATGTTTTCCAAGTACACAAGACATCTCTATCACTATTCAATTAATTTAAAAAGCAGAGTGTTCAAAAATCTTATCTAATCAAATAGTTAATGCAAGGCATTTAATTTGCATTTTAAACATAATTAACATATGTAGTTAACAAAAAAAAATGTCCTTCTGAAAAAAGTTCACTTCAAAGTTCAAAGTGCAGGCAAATTCTCATAACACAAAACTCTTACTTTTCAAGTATCAACTACCAGAAAAATGTTTTTCAGGTTATCATTGCTGTGTAGAGCCAGTAGGGGTCTCCTTTTACTCACAGGCCAGGCATCACATACGCAATGTTATCCAAGGTGGAGGCCTTTAAACAAACAAGAAAAGCATTCACAAAGGAAAGAAAATCAATGAAAGAGGAAGCAAAAATGCTGATTGCAACGATATAATAATAAAGTGCATTTAGGAGCACATGTCCAAATAAAACAATAAAATTACCGCAAACTTGTTTAGTTTTGTTGAGTCTATGGAATGGGTTACGATGTTTACACTGTAGCTTCAGTTGTTTGTAAACATTTGCGTTTTATTCCTTGGTATTATTTTTAACCTTTTGAAATGAGTTTTTCCCTTTTTTGATTAAATCTCTCCTGGATAAATATTTCTCTTTGGCTTAAATGGCATTTGTTAGGTGCAAATTCAAGATGTTTAGAATAGGTATTATAGTACAAACAGTGCATTTTGACAGCAGATTTGATTAGTGGAACAACAAATAAATCAATGCTGAACAATAAACACTGACAAGGATAAGTACCGCTACAGTTATTGGACTTTGTCAATACCACAAGTTTCATTCATAACAGCGGCATTGTGTCAACAAAGTAAAGCATAAATCTGCAGGCGTTTTTCCTTTAACAAACAATATACTGGAAGTTCACTACAATAATTTCACCAAGGTGAAAGCATGTACACATAACAACATGTAAAGGATATGATGTGTATGCACTATAAATAGGCAGCAATGCTTACCAGTGTGTGTTGGGTGCAGCTCCTCAGCTCTGGTATGTGCATAGTGAGGCCGGTAAGTGGAGCCATAGCACACAATAGAGAGTCCAAGAGTAGAGACAAACTACTCGACATACACACCATTTTCTGCAGAGATGCACAGAGAGCCCTGTATCACCCTATAGTGCAATGAATAAGTTGCATGCTTTCCAGTAGTCTTGATAAAACAGTGTAATGAGCAAACTTTTAATACTACATGACCACCCCCCAAACACACACACACACACACACACACACACACACACACACACACA